GACACCAAGAGGAGCAGAGAACCTGATTCAGCCTCGGCCCTCACGAAAACAAGCAAACACGAGAAGCTTTAACGCGTTGCCATGCCAACGATAAACTCTCAAACTATTTTGTGTGTGTGTGTGTGTGTGTGCTCAGCTTATAAATACACCAATCTCTGCTGTGAAAGTGGGACTGGCAGCACATTCAGCTTCATGCCTCCTGCATCACCCTGATTACAGAAGTGCGGCTCTGCAAAGACGTCGACTCCAGTCGGTCGAGCAGTTCACAGCTTTGTTCTCTGACCCAAACGTCAGCAGCAGCTGCCGGAAGGTTCTGACGTCCACAAGATCCAAAACTGTTTTCTGTCTCCTGGGTGTGTGGAGTCATTTACTGATGGAGAAACATCACGCAGGTTATTATTGCAGAATATTATAGTATCAGTTGCAATAAACAGATAATCCTTACTTCTGTTTCTGTTCTGTCACCACGATGTTCATGTCTTACTCCACGTGCTTCAGCATCTCCGTCACTATTGTTCCAACTAGGTGAGGACAGTAAGAGCAGGCCAAGCAGTCGTCTGCGATGCTGAAACTGCACAAATTGATGGTGCAGCTACGATACATTTTTGATCATAGATTTTCAAGTCAACATAAATTAAAAAGTAGCTTTGCCCATAATTAACACCCAATGCCACAAAAGGAGGACGATCATGTAGTTTGTGTGTTTGTTGGCAAAACATCTGAGGAACCACTGGAAGAGTTTTAATAAAACCCTCAGAAATTGTAACATTTGAAAGTAATCCAATTTAAGATGGCAAACTACAGCTAAGTGACATTACCAACCAAGCACAAAAATGGCTGTAACTCAGTCATTTGTGCAGGTAAGAGGATAAAGTTTGGTGTAGCAGTAGCTTAGCATCATTCCCAACACAGTGGACTCATTTGTTAATTTTCTATCCTTATCCAACATGGTTCAGCTGAACTTTTATGTTCTGAACCGCTTTGGTTATGGCTGCCTCAGAGAAGTCGACAGGGGAGAGGGCGGCCCCCAGAAGCCATCTTATCACCAGCAAACTGGTTGGTCCACTATGTGAGTGTGCCGTTTGTGGGACTGAGTTTGTTGTGGCTCCTCAGACTGATGAAGTCCTTTGGATGAAGGACGAAACGTCTCAACAATTTTATTTATAACAATTTTTATCCATTAACTGCACATGCAGGACAGTGACTATCATTTTATGTTTGTAAAACACGTAGTTTTTTTTAGTAAATGAGCTGTTTTAATGTCTAATTCTTGGCTCTGCATGCGACTCCTCCAGTGGTCCTGATGAGACTCTGAAGTCTGAGATCAGCTTCATCTCTGTCTTCCAGCGCTCATGAGCAGCTCCGTTTGTAAAGTCACATCGCCTGCAGTCAGACATGAAATAATTTATACTGAGCTTCAATGGGTTCTCATAGAAAGTCCAGACGGCAGAGGAGGGCGTCAGCACGGAAACGTTTCTGGTGATGTCACAGTAAATGTAGGAGAGTGATTCAGGCTGCTGCAAACGACAACACTGGGGGACACAAATGCAACGTCCAACTCGAGGACAAACGCAGACCTCACCATCCTTGCCTGAACCCAAACAGACACGAACTGCAGCAGGGAACAGGATATTTTTAGAGTGAGCAGCAAAAAGGCGAGCCCAGGCAGAATAAAGCATGCAAAGCCATCCGATGTTGTCCTGTCACTGTGGCCACGAGCACAGCTCAAACAGAGCCCACTGGCCTGATAATGTCAATTTTATTCCTGTCATCTCAACGCCTGCTTCCTCGTCATTGAAAAGGGCTCAAAATTAAAAACTCCCACTCGGAGACAGTGAGCTGTATAAAACACAGTGACTCCAGGGTCCTCCTCTCTAATCAGCAGCATCACAGACAAGTCTTTAACAGAGGACGGCATCTGAAGGAATTACACCTGTGTGATGAAGTTACCTGTTGCAAACCACTTTTTGTATGTTTGCTACATATGGACCAGCAGGTCCCAAACCTGAAAAAACACTAAAGTCCAGAAACGCACCCCCATTAAAGAAAACAGGTCGGCTGCTTCTCCATCACGTGACAGCAGGAGCTGACGCTTCACCCTCATTCTGTCAACACATGTAAATTTGTCAGGTGCTGCTTGATGTGTGAGCAAAGAGATGGTGGGGTGCACGAACTCCACAACACCACTCATAGGCCTCAACGTCCCCCCCCCCCAATCATTGGTGTGTTGGTGTAATCAGATTAATTTAGGAGCTAATTACTTTCTGTTGAGCGCGCCTGCCGTCATAGAGAACTCCTCAAAAAGCTGATTACCAAATCAAATCCTCCTGCTGGTGAAGGTTTGAGTGCAGAGCTGTGTGGCTGTCAGGATTACTTTAGTGTGAGTGACTGAGGCGTCCAGATGTGGGAGCGAACTCCTGCCACCACCAGCTCCTGTCAGACTGATGCATCAAGTTGGACTTCACAGATCAGAGCTGATCTGTTGGATGGATCAACATGGACAACAAATACAAACAAGTAGCAGAAAATCC